AGTGATTTAACAGTGTAAGTGGAGCTCAGAGCTAAATAACATATTTTTGGGGGTCCCCCCCGCCAACCATACACACACACACACACTGTTTATTGCACTTCATTTGACTGCTGTCTGCTGTTTCATGTGCGCATCAGCTTTTGAATTTCTGACTCAAAGGGAGCACCTTTGTCTGAACCAGAGTCTGCAGGAAGCTCTGCAGAGGAAGGCAGACGACCCAGAAACAGACCTGCCAGCGCGCACGTGTGTGCAATTTGCATGTGTGTGATGTGTGTGTGTGTGTGCGTGCCTGTGTTGTGGAGACGGAGTGGGAAACAATGGGTTGATGTAGACGAGTAGAGCCATATCCGAGTGCTTTATTTGTATTTATACAGTACGTTGAGTGAGGTGAATTATTCTTAAAGGAAGTGGAATGGACGTTACAATGTGTTGTTTGGGTTTTTGAGTAAGTAATTGTAATTACAAAACAGTAATATATAGTAAATGTATGTATGTAAATAATGAATCCAAATGACCCTGAGAATAAGTTTAACAGTTAAGTCACAAAACCATCATTTCACTTTTCACAATCCTCACAGTCCTCCTTCACTTATTGTGTGTGTTTCACTGCCAGAAGAATCATACATCCTGTGTGTGCACGTTTGAGTGTGCATCTACACGTCTGTCCCGCGCTAATCTTGCGTTCTGCTGCAGCAAACAGGTTAAACATTTTTATGTATGACTCCTTCTTTGTCAAAAGACTTTTTATTTTTAACACTACCACTGACTTCCTGCTGACTTCTCCCTGAATCTAAACAGGGCCCCAATCGCCTTTGTTAGGCTTAATGTGACAGCTCTCAGGAAGAGCCCGGGAATGATGAGACCACCTCATGAAGCATTTTACAGCAGATGTTGATGTTGTTGTTGTGAGCGGTGGTTCTTCTCTGACCTTGTGTCTTCCTGCTGAAGGCCCCTGACTCTTTTCATACTGCAGCTTGCCCTTAAGGGATCAAACCAGCAGGCTTATTCAGACCTGTGAGAGCGCTCACCTTCCCTCGCCCCGTATCACCACATTGGGCTCGCGTGTAAAGTGTTGACGAGCTGAAGTGCTCTTAAGATGTGTTACAGGCTCTGATCTTGAAAAGCGAGCTTCCTGTTGTCAAAGGCTGTCGCATTGAGAGTCTTTATTCATTCTCCAGATCTTTTTTGTCACATCACAGATTTAAGACTTGTTACGTGGATGTTGGCCTTAGTGAGGCTCTTTTAATTGGCCGTAGCATTTATGAATTCTCTAATCAAGAGGTGTCCCCAAACGTTGTTTCAGAGAAGCGTTTCAGCGCTGACACATACCCTGCATCAAGAAAGGAAAAAATAATGTACCACAGAGGGATAAAATATTTATGATGCGCTTGGAACAAATCCCATCATGTTTTCGCCTCTGCAACTTCCTTTGAATGCGGAGCAAAGGAGAGGCGCTGCTCTCCCCGGGAGGCCTGTGGACAATATCAAGACTCGAGGGAGGTGACGGTGTCTGTGGGGGAGTGCAAACCACAGGCGGAAGAATCCGGCGCCACAGCTTTCTCTACTGACACCTAATGGTTGTCGGGATGTGAGCTGCTCAAAATCTCTGGACATTAAGAATAGATCATCAAGGGCTCCACTTTTGCAGGGCCTGCGCCCCTGACACATTTCTTTTTTCACCTCCTCGCTATAAATAACAAGCGGCCCCCTTTTTTCTCACACCTTTTGTGCGATGCTTTTTTTATGGAAAAAACAGAGTAGCCATATTTTACGAACTGCTTGTGCTCATTATTTAATCAGTCACTTGTCAAAAGGAATTTTCTTTGAGCCGTCGAGATGGCGAGCTAAATTAAACATGACTGATACATTTGATAGATTACTACCTTATGTAATAAATGTGTAATCCACATTTTAGTATGCTAAATAAATTCTTAAATACACCGTTGCAGTTCTTTGGCATGTCCCCAACTTACACGCCAACAACACAGTGAATCTGAGCCCAAAGAATAGAACATGGCGCCTGTCTTTTCAACTCCTCACAGGTTAATTATTCAACAATTCCCCTCTTTTCGCTCAAGAAGCCAAAGCACAGCAGGAAAGTGCAGTGAGCTGCAGCTCCTCCCTTATTCCCTCGGAGAGTGTCGGAAGTTTAAATCACACTGTTCCACCGTAATTGAAATGCACACGTTGTCTCAAGCCGGCGCCTTCAAGCAAAAGGCAGACAGCAAAAAAACACGGCACAAACATCACCTCAGACGCTCTCTCGGTGAGCAACGTGGTTCCAATCAGCGACAACTCTAACCTGCTCTTCGTTGTTTTGATTATGCGTTGTGAGTGTGAGTTATGTGTGATGACTGGTTGGATCGTCTGATTTAGGACTGGAAAACATACCGGTGCTTTGTGATGAATGTGTTGGACACGTGGAGAACAACACAGCAAGTACAATGAATTAGTACAGTTTAAAATAATGAGCAATTTAAAAGCAATTGAGTTCCACATATTATCTCTGTAAAAAAATAACAGACAGAAAAAGGGGCAAACGTGAAACAGGCATCACAATTCTTTATCGTCTTTAATTCAGCAATTGTGGGAGTCTCCCAAACGCAATCTTTTCTCATCATCACAGTCAAAGCTACAGGCAGGAAAAATATTATCACAAGAGGAAACGCCAAAATATCGCAGACATATCAAATGGACCATCAACATGCTGGAACACGAACGGAAAGTTTACATTACATGTCATTTAGCTGACGCTTTTATCCAAAGCGACTTACGTGCATTCAACCATAAAACTCAAGTTAGAAACAAGAAAGTGCAATTTCCTCCAATAAGCCAATTTACAATTTGCTGCACATGAGTGGCGTTACAAGTACAATTTAAGAGCTACAATTTGTTAGTCTTTTAGTGGAGATAGAGTCTGAAGAGGTGTGTTTTCAGTCTGAAGATGTGAAGGCTCTCAGTGCTCCTGATGTCATCAGAGAGCTCGTTCCACCATTTAGGAGCAAGGACAGCAAAGAGTCGTGATGTAGTAGAGTGTTTGAGTCGATGTACCAAACAACGAAGGAGCCTGCGCATGCTGATCCAAGATGGCGCCAATGATGGCTGCCACGGTGCTTCGGTGCGCTTCGTTTTTTGTTGTTTTTGTTGTTAATTATGTTTCCTGTGCGATTCCCGGAGCTCTTTCACCAGAGATGAGCTCTTGAACATCCGTGGAACAACTCCAGCGGAGTTACTTACAACTTTCCTGCTATCTTCCGTGGAATTACTGGATATTATAGTCAAAGGTGCGCTCACCTTTCGTCACGTGGTGAGACGCCGTAGGAGAGGAAAACGGGCCGGCTCGCTGGTGAGACTCCGCAGGCGTGGTTCTCGCACACCGCTGCCGGGCATCTTTCTCTCCAACGTGCGCTCACTGTGCAACAAACTGGACGGAATTCAGCTGCTGATGAGGAGAGACAGAGACTTTTATACATCCTCCGTTTAATGCTTCACGGAGACGTGGCTCTGCGGATCAATACCGGACGCCGCGCTCCAGCTGGCGGACCGCGACACGGAGCTCTCCGGCAAGACGGGTGGAGGAATCTGCTTTTACTTCAAGAACGGCTGGTGCAACGACATAACGGTGATCCGAAGACACTGTTCTCCTGATCTGGCAACTTTCTACATCAACTGCAAACCTTCTTTTTCCCCCTGTGAGTTTGCTTTATTCATCCTGGTCGGTGTTTACATGCCGCCGACGGGCAACGTGCACGACGCACAGCGGACACTCGCCGACCAGATATGCCGTGCGGAGCGGACCAACCTGGACTCTTTAGTTATTGTCCTCTGGGACTTTAACAAAGGAAATCTCACACACGAACTTCCTAAGTACAGACAGTTTATTAAATGCCCCACCAGAGAGGAGAACACGCTGGATCACTGTTACACCACAGTCAGCAGGGCTTATCACGCCGTCCCTCGTGCTGCACTGGGACACTCTGACCACCTCATGGTCCATCTGATACCTGCATACAGGCAGAAACTAAAGCTCTGCAAACCTGTGGTGAGGGAATTCAAGAACTGGACCAGTGAGGCGCTGGAGGATCTTCGGGCGTGCTTTGACTGCACAGACTGGGATGGTTTCACGACTGCTACTAACAGTCTGGATGAGTTCACAGAGGCTGTAACTTCCTACATCGGCTTCTGTGAGGACAGCTGTGTACCATCATGCACCAGGGTGAGTTTCAACAACGACAAACCCTGGTTCACAGCGGAACTCAGAACACTACGCCTGCAGAAGGACCAGGCAGACGAGCTCAATGAGTTCTACTGAAGATTCGAAAGACAATGTCCTGATCCCATCCCCCACAGCTCCACCAACCTGCCCCAGTCCCCCTTCCCTCCCTCCCCCAGCCCATCAGGGGCTCACGCCTCTTCATCTATATCACCTTCCCCTCCCCCACCAGCAACGACCCTCTCTAATCAGGAGAGAGACGTTAACCGGCTCTTTAAAAGACAAAATCCCCGTAAGGCAGCCGGCCCGGAGTCCGTTTCCCCTCACACCCTGAAGCATTGTGCTGACCAGCTGTCTCCGGTGTTCACTGACATCTTCAACACCTCCCTGGAGACATGCCACGTACCAGCCTGCTTCAAGGCCTCCACCATCATCCCTGTTCCCAATAAGCCCAGGAGCCTACAGAGCCAACACATCTGTGGACGATGCTGTCAACATGGCCCTCCACTACGTCCTCCAGCATTTGGACTCCCCAGGAACCTACGCCAGAATCCTGTTTGTGGACTCCCAGCTGCACGTGCCCGACTCCACCTGCAAGTGGATCACAGACTTCCTGTCTGACAGGAAGCAGCATGTGAAGCTGGGGAAACATGTCTCAGCCTCTCGGACCATCAGCACCGGTTCCCCCCAAGGCTGCGTTCTTTCCCCTCTGCTCTTCTCCCTGTACACCAACAGCTGCACCTCCAGTCACCAGTCCGTCAAGCTCCTGAAGTTTGCGGATGACACCACCCTCATTGGACTGATCTCTGGTTGGGATGAGTCCGCCTACAGGTGGGAGTCTGACCATCTGGTGTTGGGTTTTATATATATATATATTCTCTTAATTATTTTGCTAGTATGATCACAAACATACATGCACAAAGGTGCAGAAAGACATTCAGCATGGTTACGTGGATTCGAATAACTGGCTTAGTCGGACTGAAATCGAATTATCCGTTTCATGTAAACACCTTTGTCCGACTGTGCGGGCCAACTACGATCCGACTAACACCCCTGGATAACTCGATCCGATCAAGTTGATAGTTCGACTATTGCGGCATGTAACGGTGAATCGGATGAGGAACTGGACTTTGCGTCTTTGCGCAAGCTTGAGATCCCGACGGCGTTTTCTCTCCGTTATCAAATCAGCCAATTGCGCCATTCGCATTCGCTGTACTCCTATTAACATCATGCACAAATAGTAGAGGGATGTAGCTTCACTTTGCTCTCCGCTCGCCATCTTTCTCATAATGTTGATGTTGTTGTTGGTAGTGGTGAAGCGGTCAAGCGGAAATAGCTGTATCGCAACTAGTTGTAATGAAAACAGCGCCACCTTTCGGCCAATGATTCGATTTATTCACTGCCATGTATATTGGGATAATAGCACCTCCCCCCGAAAGATAGCATAGTCCGACTAATCAAAGATTCAAATTATACCATCATGTAAACACTGATAGATAAGTGTTTGTTCCACTTCTTCCCAATGTACAGAGAATTGAAATACACAAACAAGGACACAATTCAAACCTTTAAAACAATAGCTTTATTCATATAGGAATCCATGTATTTATTAGATGATTTATTGGTTCAACTTTTCATAATCCTGTTCAACCCACAGAGACTGGGCCAAAATATACTGGTAGGCTATTCGAAACATTTGCACTATAGGTGTTCAACAGCAGAGGTCATCATAGTTTGCGATGCATTGAATGAATGAACCTCTTTCTGATACAATTGGCTGGAAAGCTTCACTGGTTCAGAAAGCTTCACTTTGCCTTCACTTACCTGTCACCACACGGAGCAGCGTGAAAGACGCCAGGAGGTGTCGTAACCGCAGCCTCTGGCAAATTAAATACAGACTCTGCTCTGAGGCCGCCTTTATGCCGCATTGTCATGCAGCGATTGGCTGTGATCCAGACCCAGCTGCATGTTATTAGGACCAATCACTGCATACTGCCACATGTGCCAACTGCCCGTGTGCCTGCAAGGCTTGGAATGCACTTTTAAGCTACTTGTTAAGATGTCATCAGCCCTCCAGACATACTGAACTGACTACAGTTAAATTCATCATAAGGGTTGTTCAGTGAGTGACTTAAAGCCTGGAAAACTGCAGTTAGAAAAGGGAAATGCTGCGTATAGATCAAAGAAGACAAGGTTGACTCTTGGTTCAAAACAAAGTCAGGTATTCTGGAAAAGGTAGCAGAAGATAGTCCAAAGCTACAGAAGATGCATTGCCAGAAAAAAAAGTTAAGACACCTGGGAGAGGAGAGGCCAACTACATACCTGAAAATACCAACTGGAGAGACCACAATTTAGAAAAGGAGACTGTCACTTTTAAGTGAAGTAAAGAAGCAAAATTATTGTGCAGTGATAAAGTACAAAATGACAAAAAAGAAGAAATCGTGGGAAAGGAATTAGGAGTTGAAAGAGATGGCCTGCATTGTTCACAATGGATGAGGCTAGCACCTTTTCTAATCAATACGTCAGTGATTGCCTATATAATTAATTATATGATCCCCTATCATTAGAAACCTGCAAATAAATGATGCCACCCCAAATACAAAATTCATGCTTTGACACTTGATGTAAAAAAATAAAATAAAAAATAAAAACACACACCACAAAGTTATAATCTAACATGTAATGTACTTTGGGTTTTTTTAAAGATCAATGTGGAATTTCTGAGAATCACAACCACGATTCCTGGCTACCTTGGACAAGCACCACAGCAAGCTGATTGAGACAATCAGGGACGAGGGAAGAGTTGTCAGAATAAAGTCCTGATCAATTGTGATGTATTGATACATACATCCATACTTGATCATTATCACATAAATAATCATTTAAAAAAAGCAATTGTGTTCATTTCCATAACATGTTCCATTGAGGAATTATATTAAATGTTAGAATAATATACTGCATATTATCTATTGACTGTGAGAGGACTTTTAACTGGTTTGCTCAAGCTGAGAGGTCTGACAAAACATTTTTTCAGATCATGTCTATGAACTCAATGTAGCAGGACACTGGTTTTCCACAGGTGGATTGTTATTTGCGACACTACATCAGTATGACTGTGCAGAAGCAGTACACTGCATTAACCAGTATACTTAGTACTAGTAGCCGAAAGCCTCTGTAAATCTCAGTTACTGTTACTCCGAGTACCTATTCGTATATTGTACAGTGTCTGCATTTTTTTTTAAATTGGCAAAATTGGACAGTATAACATTTTCTGTGTTTGCGCTGTAGAGCCTTGAGGTGAATCTGAGTGTCTGCTGAAGTGCATCATTCTGTACCTTGGGGAAGACGAGTAAAGGTCTTTTGAAGAGAATTTTACTGTCTTTATTTCTATTATGTTTCAATTTCATGAACATTCTACTTTTCTATCACAGAAAATACTGTGTGTTGTGACATTTTATTTGAAATAAAGCAAAATATACAAGTGTATTGGACTACATGATGATGTGGTCCTGATGGCATCTTGTGTCTGTTACTTCCAACTCTCAGTGGAGCGTTTCGCAGTCGGGTGTGAAGCGGTCAGGATGAGGATTAGCGCCTCTAAATCTGAGGCCATAGTTCTCAGCAGGAAACCGATAGATTGCCTACTCCAGGTAGGGAATGTGTCCTTACCCCAAGTGAAGGAGTTCAGGTACCTCGGGGTCTTGTTCACGAGTGAGGGGAAGATGGAGTGTGAGTTTGGCCGGAGAATCGGAGCAACAGGGTGGTACTGCACTCGCTTTAACTGGCAGGCGTCTCCCTTAGAAATCGGGTGAGAAGCTTAGCCATTCGTGAGGAGCTCGGAGTAGAGCCGCTGCTCCTTTGCGTCGAAAGGAGCCATTTGAGGTGGTTTGGGCATCTGGTGAGGATGCCCCCTGGGCGCCTCCCTAGGGAGGTGTTCCAGGCACGGCCAGCTGGAAAGAGGCCCCGGGGAAGACCCAGGACTAGGTGGAGAGATTATATCTCTGCACTGGCCTGGGAACGCCTTGGGATCCCCCAGTCAGAGCTGGTGGATGTGGCCCAAGAAAGGGAAGTTTGGGGTCCCCTGCTGGAGCTGTTGCCCCCGCGACCCGACCCCGGATAAGCGGCTGAAGATGGATGGATGGATTGGACTACATCAAGTGATAAATTAAGGTATAATTATAAATTTTAGTTTGTACTGAATGAGAAATCTAACTTGATGAAACCTGATAAAGTTGCCTGTAACAATTATAAAATTTAGTTTGCATTGAATAGGGCGGCACGGTGGCGTGGTGGTTAGCACTGTCGCCTCACAGCAAGAAGGTCCTGGGTTCGACTCCCTTGGCCTTTCTGTGTGGAGTCTGCATGTTCTCCCCGTGTCTGCGTGGGTTCTCTCTGGGTACTCCGGCTTCCTCCCACAGTCCAAAGAGGGGGATCAGGTTAATTGGGGACTCTAAATTGCCTAAAGTGCTTCACATCATAACATTTCATACAATAAAGTGAAATAAAATGCAGGAATTAAAAGACAATTAAAAACAGCAAATAAAATTATAAATTAAAATCTTATTTAAATTGTTTAATTAAAAAGCTAAACATAAAAGTTTTCAGTCTGGTTTTTAAGAGTTGGGGCAAGTCTTAAATCTTGTTGCGTAGTAACTAAATGATGCATTCCCATGATTTGTATTTACTCTGGGAATCACTAACAGATTGGTGTCAGATCAAGATCTTAGTGATCTTGAAGGCTTATGTGGTGGAAGCATATCAGTGATATACTTTGGCCCTACTTGTCCTAGTGGGAGCATGTAGATGTTGAATAAAGTCGGCCCTAAGATCGAACCTTGGGGGACTCCACGCGTTACGTCGGTTGTTTCTGATACGAAATCACCAATGGAAACAAGATAGTTCCTGTCTTGTAGATATGACATGAACCAGCTTAAGACTGTGCCTGAGAGCCCCACCCAGTTTTCCAACCTGTCCAGAAGTATTGAGTGGTCGACAGTATCAAATGAAGCACTGAGGTCTAATAGCATTAATATTGAAGTTTTGCCAGAGTCTGTGTTAAGACGGATGTCAATTACAACTTTAATAAGGGCCGTCTCGGTGCTATGAAGAGGTCGAAATCCTGACTGGAAATTGTCGTGGCAGCCAGTTGAAGTCAGGAAGTGATTAAGTTGTTGTAGGACAACTTTCTCAATTATTTTACTTATGAAAGGTAGATTTGAAATTGGTCTGTAGTTGTTGATAATAGAGGCATCTAGGCTCCGCTTTTTTAGGAGAGGTTTAATAACTGCAGTTTTGAAAGCTTTTGGGAAATGGCCTGTCTGAATAGAGTTATTAACTATTTGCAATAAGTCTGTTGCTAGGCAGTCAAAAACATTCTTAAAGAAGTTGGTAGATAGAGCATCAAGACAGCAGGTGGATGGTTTTAAATTTGTCACCGTTTCCACTAGAGTTTGAGAGTCTATGGCAGTAAAGCTTTTCATCATTGCTGTGTTACCTTTGCCTAAATAGGGTGGTGATCCAACATTTTTGTTTGAGATATTAATGGCGCGGCAGATGCCTTCAATTTTATCAGTATAAAAGAACGCAAACTCATTCAGGTGGTATTTGTGTTGGGGGGTTGGTCAGTCTGTCAACAGTTTCAAATAGGGTTTTTGCCTTATTAGTGTTGTTGTTAATGATGTTGGAGAAGAATGTTTCCCTAGCACTTTTTAAGTCTAAATTGTAGGCCCGGAGGCGCTCTTTATAGATGTCATGGTGAATATGAGGTTTTGTATTCCGCCAGATTCGTTCAGCCTTCCTGCACTCTCTTCTCTGGGCTGTTACAACAGCAGCTTTTCTCCAGGGTGCCTTTTGCTTACTAGAACTGGTTTTAACCGTAACAGGTGCAATGGCATCTATAACATTCAAAATTTTGGAATTAAAGTTGTTTACAAGATTATCAGCATGACATGGGATTAGAGGTGGTAACGAGGAGATGACATTTTTAAAGAGTACATTAGTATGTTCATTGATTGATGTATATTTTGATTGTGTGTCAGGAATGAAAGAAGTATTAAAGAAAACACAGAAGTGGTCAGACAATGAGGGATCAGTCACAAAAACATCCGAAACAATGAGACCTTTTGTGATAATCAGGTCCAGGGTGTGTCCCTTACAATGAGGAGCCTCTTTCACATGTTGAGACAGTTCAAATGTGTCTAAAATAGTCAAAAGTTCTTTTGCACCCTTGTCCTTCAAATCGTCAGTATGAAAATGAAAGTCACCAGTTATAACTAGACAGTCAAAGTCGGTAGAGATGCTAGACAATAATTCAGTAAAATCATCGAAAAAATGTGCAGAATATTTAGGTGGCCTGTAAATAATTAACAGGAGAACTCTGGGAGAACCTTTTAATACAACACAAAAATATTCGAATGATGGAAAATTATCAAGTGACATCTGTTCCCCCTGAAATATATTTTTAAATATAGCAGCAACTCCTCCACTTCTTTTTCCAGATCTACATTCATCAATAAAGTTATAGTTGGGGGGTGCTGCCTCAATCAGAATGCTTGCACTGTTATTTTGTTCTAACTATGTTTCAGTTAAAAACATAAAATCAAGTTTAGAAGTGGGAATAAAATCATTGACTAAAAACGATTTGTTATTAAGAGACCTAACATTAAGCAGAGCCATCCTGATGGTGTTATTCACAGGCTTTGGGGATGACTTTGAGCTGGAGAGAATAGGAATGAGATTTGTTAGATTAGCAGTGTGTCTAAATTTCGCAATGTTCACTCTCTTGGTGGTCACAATAGGAATGCAGAAGGTGCCATTTTGACGTAGGCGACCTTGGGTCCAGCTGATAATGCGGTCTACTGCTGAACCCTTTTCTATCTCAGTAATATTCAGGGCTGCTGTCAGGAGGAGGAGGGGGTGGGCCTAAGGGGGGGGAGTGAGCAGCGTCACAGCTGGGATGGATTTGTGGAGGTGGAGGTGGAGCACGTCTTCGTAGAGGTGGGGGAGCAGATCGGAGTAAGATGGCGTCACCGCTGAGATGAGCTGGTGCAGGTGGACGCTGGGGGGGAGGGCGCTGAGGTCGATCTAAGGGAGTAAAAACAGGAGTAGGGCCGGGGAGTAAGTGGGGGTAACTCTTGGAACTCCAAGGGGGAGGAGGGGGGAGAAAGGTTTACTGAAGGGAGGGAGAAAGAGGGAGACGTGGACCTGGATGGGGGCTCTGGGGGGGTGGGAGAGGGATCCTCACACGTAATGGAAGGAGGGTTAGAGGGGGATAGCAATGGCGGTCCTCCTTCGCCGTTTCTGATAAGCTGTGTTTTCTCTTCCTTATTTGTGGGCTTCTCTTCTTGTCTCGTGTCCTTGGCAGTGGGGACAGATGGATGACGCATGATGTAAAACATGTTGGTAATGAAAAGCTTTGCTCCCATCTTATTCAGGCAAAGTCCATTTGTCTTAAAAAGATGCCTGCGGTCCCAGAAAAAGGTAAAATTGTTGATAGAATGCATTGAACGAACTGCACATGCAGTTAAGAGCCATTTGTTGAGCCAATACAGTCTACTCAATCTCTCAGCTCCTCTCCCGGTCGGGGGCAGAGGACCACTGATAAACACCTCAGCATTCACAGAGCTGACTGTTTCTAGGAGATTATCGAAGTGCTCTTTCAACTTTTCTGATTGTTGTTTTTCAATGTCATTAGAGCCAAAGTGCAGAATTAAATTTTTCACAGTTGGGTGTTCAGCCACAGTTTCCAAAATTCTTTCTTCCAAGTAAGACACCATATCCTTCGTAAAGCAGTACTTTGGTGTCGTTACTACTTTTCATATCTTTTACAGAAAAATCACCCACAATCAGATTTTCAGGCCCTGTCGTTAGCTTTCTCTGTGGCTTTAAGTTAGCAGGTCTTACCCTGCTGCGTGGTGGTGGAGGGTTATCCAGAAATTTAGAGGGGGATCCATGGTCCTGCAACAGTGGAGCAAACCTGTTTTGTAGTTTTAAACCTGTTAGCTGGGGAGGTTTCTTGGTAGTTCCCCTCTTCTCAGTTGTCCGCTGCTTTGTTCTACGAAGCACAGGAGTTGCGGCGGCGTTATGCCTCGATGGTAAATGCAGGCCAATCGGCCAGATCACAGATATCGGGCCGCCGGGTCCTGCCAGTTATCCGTTCTCCCTTTTCTGGTCTTCTCTTTGGCTTTGGGAATGGGAATGGGAATGGGAATGGGAATTTGGGAATGTCTTTTTTCTTTCTTTCTGGTAGCCGCTAAAATTTTAAAACTAAAGCGATGGTATTTGGTCCTGTAGGTTTCTGAAGTTTTGTTTAGCCCTGCGATAGGCTGGTGACCAGTCCAGGATGTACCCTGTCTATCGCCCGAAGTTGGCTGGGATGAACTCCAGCTTCAAGATTCTGTTGATGATAGCCTACTGTAAGACAAAGATGCAACATTCTATCTCTCCGGATGGCGGGCGAGATGCTCTCGCCACCTTGTTTGTGTGCATGAAACTACA